GCGGACCTTAACTTGTCTCTATATGTTGTTTTGTACCTTCAGAATTCTGTATTACAAACGTGTAGAATTACTATTTCCAAAGTTGATTACAAAACTATTGTACAAAGATGCTCTCTAGTGCTTACACACAGCCTTGTGCTGGCCAGAGACCCCATCTCTCGGGTGCCCCCTTCCTGCTTGGCCTACCCCTCCATAGCCACACCCAGCCCTTGTGCAGGCCCTGTCTTTTAGCCCACTCCATGTCTCCCAGCAAGTCCCCAGCACAGCCTCAAGGGCCATGAGCACTGGCCTTCCAAGCACAGGCCTGTCACTTTTACCCAGAGGGACGTGGGCTGAGTCTCTGTTCCTCCACCGTCTCACCTGTAAGTGAAAATTCTGGTATCTCCCCCACAGGGTGACTGTAGGGACGAAGTGAGGTGCTAATTCGTGGAAAGGGCCAGATACAGTCCCAGCCCAGGGTCTCCCTCCTCCCTCCTGTCCTTTGAAAAGGGTAAAATGATGTTGAAGAAAAGCTGCCAACTTCTCGGAGCTGATCTCTACCCGCGAAGCCCCCTCCAACCCTGCAGGTGGACCGCAAACCTCCCAAGCCAATTCCTGCCTCCAGGCCTTTGCACCTACTGTTCCCTCCTCCTGGCCCATCTTCCCCTGATCTTCCCATCACTCAGTTTCTCCCAATGCTACCTCCTCTAAGAGGATCACCCTCTCTAAAATGGCCCCCCCCCCCCCCCCTTCTCCCCCCCCCCCCATTGATCTTCTTCCTGGTACTTACCATTACCCCAAATTGTATTTTTTGTTTCTTTTTTTTGGCTGCATCTCCCACGCAGCTTGCAGGATCTTAGTTCCCCAACCAGGAATTGAACCAAGGCCCCCTGCAGTGAAAGCATGGAGTCCTACCCACTGGACTGCCAGGGAATTCCCCTTTTTGTTCTTTTTCTTTTTTTTCCAAATTGTATATTTTGAATAAACTATTTTTAGGGAATAATTTTAAATTCACAGAAAAGTTGCAAAGACAGTACAAAGGGTTCCTGTATATCCTTCACTCAGTTTTCCTAACCTCAGTCCATTACCTAACAGTGGTACATCTGTCAAAACTAAGAAATTAACACTGATATATTACCATTAACTAAACTGCAGACTTAATTCATGTGAAATTGTACTTTTCCTTTATTTATTACTTGTTTTCAGCTGCTTCCCCCACTGGAAGGAAAACTGAAAGCAGGGAGGTCACCTCACTCACTCACCACCAACTCCCTCATACCTGGCAATAAATATTGATGGATAAAAAGAAGGGAAATAATGGCAAAAACGGCCAATGATGACTGAGGACTCCCTCTGTTCTGCGTGCACTAAACATGGTAAATCATTTAATCCTCACGACAACCCATGAGGTAGCGGCTACTTCTGGGGAAACTGAGGCCAGTGCAGTTTGGTGACCACACAGATGGTGAGCACCAGGGCAGACAGGCTCTGGCCCTTCCCTCAGGAACCAGAATAAATGCCCATCCTTCCAAGTCCTTAGTCCACGTCAGAGCTGGGGGTAGGCACCCTTGTGCGGCCAGGATGCTGAGGCCCCAGTGTGGCTGATTTGCCTGAAGCCACAGATGGACCAGAGCGCAGGGCTGGGCTGGAACCTGAGCCTCCTGCCTCCAGCTGGCTGCCCCGAGGCGGCAGCTGCCCCCGCTCTGCAGGAAGGGTGTGGGGTGTCGCTCCCAGGGCTCCCAGCCCCGCCCTGCTTCAAGGAAACAGAGTGCCCGGTTCAGCCACAGCCTGTGGGCTCACTCGTGGGCCTCCGACCCCCAGGGCCCTTGCAGACGCAGAGCGCAGCTGAGACTCCCCCACCACTGCCCTTTGCCCGTGGCCTGGGCCTCCGGGATCTGCGCCTGGGGGAGGTGGGGTTGGAGGATGGACCCTCTCCATCCCGGAAGATGCAGCCTTCTCGGGGGAGCCTGCTGGGCTCTGGGACAAGGAGGAACAGGAAGAAATGGCCGTCCCTTTCCGGATGTGGGGTGGGAGCAACACCTCCCAAAGGGAAAAGCCGGCCCCAGCAGGCGCACAGGACTGAGGCGGCCACCCCCGTCCAGCCTGGGTTCCGCCCAGCGCCAGCCTGGCGCAGGCTCGAGGCCCTAATAATGTTTGCTGGATGCCTTCAATACAAGCCTCGGTGCCCAGAATCTCCTTGAGGTTTCAGCCAGGCGTGCCCGCCCCATCCCCCATTCTGGGGAGCAGAATAAGTATGGGGGGGTGACAGGGGACACCATGAGGTGGTGGCAGCCTCTGTGAGAGAGGCAGGCTGCTCAACCCAGAGCTGGGGGGTAGGGGCGCCTTGTGTGCGGCTAATTAAACAGTGACTGTGATGAATCAGGGAGAGGCTGCTGCTTGCTAATTAAATGTGCCGGCAAGGATGGAAGGCAGAAGCAGCCCTGGAACCATGTCGCAGGGCCGGGCCAGCAAGGACAGCGCTTGGCAAACCCCACGCCCCCACGCTGGCTCTGGGCATCCCTTCCGGCCTCTGGCCCTCCCAGCAGGACCCCCGTGGCCCCCTCCCCACTCCCCTATCTCTCCTACCCACCTTGCCGGAGCCAGGGGCCTCGGACTTCCCCCTCCCCACCAACCCAAATCCCTTTCCTGATAAGGGGCTGGGCCTTGGGGAGAGGGAGCCTGTTGGTGCCCGGCGTCTGGCTGGTGGGTGGGCATCATTCTGAGCCTTTGAGTACTCCCCATCACCCCCCGCCAAGACCCCAAAGTTGGGCAAACGAGTCCAACCGCAATAGGCTGGCTGTTGGGAACAAGGTCCCAGGATAATTTTTAGAATCACAGATTCTGAGACTCATGGGCTTAGGCGTCACCCAGTTTCTGCCAGGGTCCTGCTTTGCCCCCAGATGCCCTGGTGTGTGAGAGAGACTGAGGGAGGCTCTCCTTTCTGGCCTCAGTGCTCCAGTCCTGAAACAGGAAGGTCAGAACAAATGATCTCTGACCCCTGAGGATTCCTATAGAGTGGACAGAAAGACCCCAGGGCTGTCCATCCCTGCCCCGTGTCGGCTTCGGCGAGCAGGCACGGTAGCTAAGAGCACGGGCTCCAGAGGCCAGACACCAGGGTCCAAGTCCCAGCCCCAGCACTGGCCACGTGTGTGACCTCAGGCAACGCAGCTAATTGCTGCCTGCCTCAGTTTCCCTGTCTGCAAAGCTGGGGATGGTCACGCTGCCTACTCGAAGGGCCACAGAGGGGATCAAGAGAGAGAATCTGGGTGAGATACTTAGCACAATGTCTGGCCCATGGAACGGGCCCAGGAAATGTCTGCCATTGTTATTTGAAAACTGGGGCACTCGGGAGGGTGTGGCCTGGCGCCTGCCTCTCTTCCATGTGACCTCCGCGTGCAGCCCTGTGCTCTGAGGACAACCGCCCGTGACATGGGGAGAGCATGTCACCCTTCACTCCAGGGCTCTCACACTCTCTCTGACCCTGGCAATCTTCTGAGGGAAGGAAAGCAGCAAAGAAGAAAACAGAGTGGAAGCTCAGAGAGGCTCAGCAAGTGGCCCAAAGCCACACAGCTAAGTAAGGGGCAGAGGCAGCCCCAGTCCTTGAGTGGGAGGACAGGATGGGATAGGGACTCCCGTGGTGACATCTGTTGAGCTCCTACTGGATGCCCAGTCCTGAACCAGCTGCCACAGAGGGAAGTGAGGAGCATGGGAGAGTCACTCTGCCTTCAAGGGGGCCCAGTCTGGAAGGGGAGAGAAAAAACATACACAAGTAATGGAATGCAAGGCAAGTTGCAGGCATCCGGGCGGGCGGGGGCTGCGGCATCCCTCCGGGGAACAGGCTGGGAGATGCTGCTTTGTCTTGGGGCTTGATTTGCAAAGCAAAGGTTCTGCTTCTGTTTGGAGGGTGAAATCAGCATTAGGGGAGTCTCAGAGGGCCTGATAGAGCCCCTCTGGTGCTCCCAGGAGAATCCTTCAGAAAGGAGGTGAGATACTCTGCTCTGGGAAGTGCCGGGTGGTCCCTGAGGTCTGCGGTGCCTATTTCTGTGGTTCTGGGGTCTGTCACGTGAGGTATCTGGGGGTCCTGGATGTTGTGGTTTCCAAGACTACGCCGTCCAGGGCCCCCATCGTGAATCCATCCATATGCAAAATGGGCTGTGACGTGTTCCTTCTAGGCAGCCAGGCACTGTCCAGGATAGGGGCTTTGTACTGCCGGGTAACGTGGTGGGGGAAGGGTGCCTCAGCCGTAAGAGGCCTAGTGACAGTGGAAACCTTTTGAGGCTGAGAAACTCAAAGCTGTTGGCCCTGACACTGGGGCGCCTGGGCCTTAAGCAGCCAACCCAAAACAGACAGGGATGAGTGCAAGGTCACTGGCCTTGGGGGTGATGTCTCCATCCTCCCTTCTCAGAGATCAGTGCTCATAGGAATGGGGAGATGGCTTGAGTAGGTCTAGCCACCAGGAAGTCTGTGTAAGCAAAGCTAGTGGCTCCTGGAAAACACGCCCTGCCTCTCAGCCTCCCTAGGGCCCCCCTGCACCAGAGCTGGGCCAAATGCTGGTCTGGGGCGCCCTCTGGTGGTCGTTCCGGGCAGTGGCAGAAGCAGCTGAGGGTTTAAGGGTGAGTGGTCAGAGCTGGAGGACTTTAGAGTGGACCACCTCTCCCACTGCAAAGATGGAAACACTGAGGCTCAGGGAAGGGGGAATGGAGCAACATGCCCAGGATCATACAGCAATTTAGTGGTCAAGCCAAGAACAGAACCCAGGCCTCCCTCTGTAGCCGTGGCTGCCCTTGGTGGGTCTCAAGGCATCCCTACTAGGGGAGGGAAGGTTGAGTGTCCAGGAGGCTGACTCCCCAGTAACTGTGGACAGCTGGATGGAAGGCGGCTGAGCAGCTGTGTCATGAGGCATGCAACACTTCCCTTCCCTGGCCTTAGGGTCCTCACCTCTAAACCCGGGGCCATTGTGTTGGCAAGGAGACTGGGGTCCCATTCATACACACTAGTAGTGAGGCTGTAACAAGCCAACCTTCCAGAAAATCCTAAAATAAGCCTTGCTACAGTGAGTATTGCATTTAATGGTGAAAGACTGGGTGCTTTCCCCCTGAGATCAAGAACAAGAGAAGAACGTCCACTCTCACCATTTCTGTCCAACATTGTACTGGAGGTTCCAGCCAGGGCACTAAGGCAAGAAAAGAAAGGCATCCAGATTGCAAAGGAAGAAGTAAAACTATTTGTAGATGACTAATGTATATACAAAATTCTGAAGAATCCACCAAAAAATATTAGAACTAATAAACGATTTCTGCAAGGTTGTGGGATACAAGCTGAATATACAAAAATCAATTGCATCTCTATGCATTTGCAATGAACACTTCAAAAACGTAATTAAGGGCTTCCCTGGTGGCGCAATGGTTAAGAATCCGCCTGCCAATGCAGGGGACATGGGTTCGAGCCCTGGTCCGGGAAGATCCCACATGCTGTGGAGCAATTAACCCATGCGCCACAACTACTGAGCCTGCACTCTAGAGCCCGTGAGCCACAACTACTGAGCCTACGTGCCACAACTACTGAAGCCCGCACGCCGAGAGCCCGTACTCTGCAACAAGAGAAGCCACCGCAATGAGAAGCCACCACAATGAGAAGCCCACGCACCACAATGAAGAGTAGCCTCCGCTCGCCGCAACTAGAGAAAAAGCACACACGCAGCAACGAAGACCCAACGCAGCCAAATAAATAAATAAATAAATAAATAAAGCCTCACATTTACAGTTAATTGATTTTCAACAAAAGTTCCAAGATAATTCAATGGGGAAAGGACAGTCTTTTCAACAAATGGTGCTGGGACAACTGGTTACCCACATGCAAAAGAAAGAAGCTGGACACCTTCCTCACACCCCACACAAAAATTCACTCAAAATGAATCTTAGACCCAAATGTAAAAGTTAAAACTATGAAACTGTTAGAAGAAAACACAGGCATAAATATTCACGCCCTAGGATTAGGCAACAGTTCCTTAAATATGACACCAAAAGCACAGCAACAAAAGAAAAAAATTGGACTTCCCTGGTGGCGCAGTGGTTAAGAATCCGCCTGCCAATGCAGGGGACACGGGTTCGAGCCCTGATCCGGGAAGATCCCACATGCTGCGGAGCAACTAAACCCATGTGCCACAACTACTAAGCCTGTGCTCTAGAGCTTGTGAGCCACAACTACTGAGTCCACGTGCCACCACTACTGAAGTCCATGCACCTAGAGACCGTGCTCTGCAACAAGAGAAGCCACCACAATGAGAAGCCCGCGCACGACAATGAAGAGTGGCCCCTGCTCGCCACAACTAGAGAAAGCCCACGTGGAACAACGTAGACCCCACATAGTCAATAAATAAATAAATAAATATTTACAAAAAAAAATAGATAAATTGGACATCGTGAAAATCAAAAACTTTTGTGCTGCAAAGAACATCATTAAGAAAGTAAAAAAACAACCCATAGAATGGGAGAAAATATTTGCAATTCATATATTTGATAAGGAATTGTAACCAGATTATATAAAGAACTCTTACAACTCAATAATAAAAGACAAATACACTAATTTAAAAATGGGCAAATGATCTAAGTAGACACTGATCCAAAGAAGATATACAAATGGCCCATAAGCTCATGAAAGATGCTGAATATCATTAGCCACCAGGGAAATGCAAATTAAACCCACAAGATACCACTTCGCAACCACTAGGTTTCCTATTAAAAAAACAACAACAGATAATAACAAGTGTTGACAAGGATGTGGAGAAATCAAAACCCTCACACACTACTGGTAGGAATTTAAAATGATGCAGTAACTTGGGAAAACCGTCTGGCAGTTCCTCAAAAGGTTAAACAGAATTAGCATATGACCCAGCAATCCCATGCCTAGGAGATATATATCAAAGAGAAATGAAAACATACATTTGCACAAAAACTTACATGAACGTCCACATTCATAAAAGCTAAAAGCAGAAACAACCCAAATGTCCACAGACTGATGAATAGATAAACAAAGTGTGGTTCAATCATGCAACGGAATATTATTCAGCGATAAAAAGGAATAAAGTACTGATGCATGCTATGACATGGATAAATCTTGAAAACATTAAGCTAATGGAAAGTCAGTCACAAAAGTCACACACTGTTTGACTTCATTTATATGAAATGTCCAGAATAAACAAATCCATAGAGACGGAAAGAAGATAGCCCTTTTTAAAAAAAAAAAAAATGTATTTATTTATTTTTTTATGGCTGCGTTGGGTCTTCATTGCTACGCATGGGCTTTCTCTAGTTGCAGCGAGTGGGGTCTACTCTTCGTTGCGGTGTGCAGGCTTCTCATTGCGGTGGCTTCTCTTCCTGCAGGGCACAGGCTCTAAGTGCACGGGCTTCAGTAGTTGTGGCTCGCGGGCTCTAGAGCGCAGGCTCAATAGTTGACGCTCACGGGCTTACTTGCTCCACGGTATGTGGGATCTTCCCGGACCAGGGCTCGAACCCATGTCCCCTGCATTGGCAGGCGGATTCTTAACCACTGCTCCACCGGGGAAGTCCCAAGATTGTCTTTTATAGGGAATTCCCTGGCAGTCCAGTGGTTAGGACTCTGTGCTTTCAGTGCTGAGGGCTCGGGTTCAATCCCTGGTCGGGGAATTAAGATCCCACAAACCGCATGGCATGACCAAAACAAACAAAGAAAAAAAAAAAAAAAGAAGACAGTCCTTTATAGCAGTGGTTGCCTAGGGCTGGAGGAGAGGATGGGGAAAATGGGCTTGGGGTTCTTTACGGGATGATGAAAATATTCTAAAATTGATCGTGGTGACGGTTGCACAACTCAGAATATACGATAAAACAATGAATTGTATGCTTTAAATGGGTGAATTATATGGTATGTGGATCATTTCTCAAAAAAGAGCCTGTTGTTTGGACCCGAGACTCCACTTCTAGAAATTCCTTCTAGGAATCATTCAAGAACATGAAAACATATGCATAAAGCTTTCCACCATAGTATTGTATGTAATGGCAAAAGTGTGAGAATAACCTAAGTGTCCATCAGTAGGGGAAAGAGTCGGTTATATTCATCCCTGGGATGGAAAAATGGACTCTTTAAAAATGAGAATCACATGGACAAGGTCCAAGATACACTGCCAAGTTTTTTTGTTTTTTGGGTTTTTTTTAAAGCAAGTTACAAAAATAAACCTGTAGATTAAAGGGACATAAAAGAGAGGTTTTTTAAACGACAAAATTATAGCATCTAGGGATGCACACTTGAGTGATAACAAGCCAGAAAGTGATTATCTTAAAAATCCAGATAATGGAAACTTTTGGGGGGAGGTAGGGAGTGTGACTAAGATGGGGCACACTGACGGCTTCTGGGGGGGGCTGGCAGAGTTCTTCACCCGGGCAGTGGGTCCAAGGGTGTTTGCCTTATAATATGTCGAGTTGAGCAATCATTTTACGTGGTCTTTCTGTATGTGTCATATTTTACAATACGAAGATTTAAAAAATAAAGTATACTCATTCCAATTTTTTTTAAAGCAAGTATCAAAGGATTCCATTCTCCAAAACAGTCTATATCTATATGTGTATACACAGAAAAACACTTGGAAGTTTGAAATTTGGGGTGCTCTTAATTTATATTTTTCTAATTTTCTATCTTTTTCTGCAGTGAACAAGAATTACTTTCACAACCAGAAAAAAATAAAGCTCTTTGCTGTGTCTTGGGCATTCCCTTGGAGCTCTGGCATCGTGTGAGCAGAAAGGTAGATTGTGATGGCCTTGGAGCAGCTGGGAGATGGCACAGGGGTCTGTGCGGCAGAAGACCGGGGTTCATTGCCTGCTCAGTGCCCAGGCCTAGCCAAGACGCCGAGGCCCAGCCGGGAGACTCGGCCCCCTTCGGGCTGCTGGCGGCAGCTGCTGCACAGCCGTCCCGGTGGCCTCGTGCTCCAAAGATGCTGGGAGCGCAGTCTGGCCTGGCGAGCTCGACAGAGGTCACTCTGCTCCCATCTGTCCAAGTCTCCTGTCCTGGGCCGAGGACGAGAAGCCCAGGCAGAGGGCAGGCGAGGCAGGGGTGAGGCGGGGGGCAGCTTCTCACCCTGGCTGGCTTTGCTACCACCAGCAAAAACTGCATAATAATAGCTAAATGAGCACTTTCTACATGCCGGGCACTCATGCTAGGT